CCTGTCTTTCACTGGGAGCGCTCAGCACAACGCACTCCCAGCAAGACAAGGGTGTCACTGAGAGCCCTGGGTCCCAGTCTAACAATCGGGACATGGAACTCCCGATTTCCAGGTCACCTGATCGCTCTGATGGCCTCTGGCTACCGCAGTGATCACACTGTGAACCCCACCCCTTGTTTCCTCCCTGAATGGATACATTGTATCTCTGTCCTTGCAGAAATTAATTGTTTTAAAATAATTAATACCTAGATCAAGGTCTGTGCCAGGTTTAGTGTTTGGGTCAAGCGTCAGGTACTTTCTTGGGTGTCAGTGGCAGGATGAAAGCAAATTACACACTATTGTGTTGGGCTGTACTATGTGTACAAACTACTAACCCACATGGTATGGCTGCAATTGTAAGGAGCAGGAGGAATTTATATTGGGGGGGGTTCTTAGGTTATGGTAGTAGCAAGACGGTTACACTTTGGTTTTTTGTTTGGGTTGTGTTTGGTTTTGGGATGTGTTTGGTTTTGGGTTGTGTTTGGTTTTGGGTTGTGTTTGATTTTGGGTTGTGTTTGGTTTTCCTTTAGTAATAAAAAAACTAAATTGGAGATCCATTACCATTTACCACCAAATGAGAGCCCAATTTTTGTCCTGGAAAAAGGTATAATCCACTTGGATGTATAAAGTATTTGTGATATGTACGGTTCTGCTAACGCGTCAAAATTGCAAAATCGTATTTAGGCATTAAGATTTGTTTTACCCTTAGGCACAAAGGGGTTAAAGCAGAACTAAAACTCTCAATCGTCATTAAAGCGGAGCTCCACCCAAAAGGTAAGTTCCGCTGTAAAGACTGGTCCTCTGCTCCCTATTAAGGATTGGCACCTTTAACTAGCTGCTGACCGCAGATAGCCGAATGACGGCTGCACTGCGGCCAGCCAGTTCTGAGTGGACGTCATATGACGTCCTCCCAGAACGCGTTTGCACCCGGCGATCTCCGTGATCGCTGTGTCCTACGGACACAGCTGATCACGTGATGTGGTAAAAGGCCAATCACAGCGGCCTTTTACCACGTGATCAGCGGTGACCAATGACACGCTGATCACAGGGAAATGCAAGTGCCGGTTCTCGGCTGCACTTTCCTCACACTGTCAGATCGTGAGGAAAGTACTGCCGAGAACCGGCAGTTGTCAGAGTGGGGATCGGCACCGATCATCAGGGCACTGATGATCAGTGCCCTGATGATCGGTGCCCAGCAGTGCCACCCGCAAGTTCCGCCCACCTGTGCCACTCTGCAGTGCCACCCACCTGTGCCCAGAAGTGCCACCCACCTGTGCCCACCAGTGCCACCCACCTGTGCCCACCCACCAGTGCTGCCCAGCAGTGCTGCCAGTCAGTGCCCAGCAGTGATGCCAGTCAGTGCCGTCTATCAGTACCCATCATTAGTGTCACCTATCAGTGCCGCCTATCAGTGCTGCATATTAGTGCCGCCTATCCGTGACACCTCATTAGTGCTGTCTATCAGTGCCGCCTATCCGTGACACCTCATTAGTACTGCCTGTCAGTGCTCTTTAGTGCTGCCTATCAGTGCCCATCAGTGCTGCCTCATCAACGCACATCAGTGAAGGAGAAAAAATACCTGTTTGAAAAATTTTATAATAGAAACAAAGAAACTTTTTTTTTTTTTTTTTCAAATTTTTTGCACTTTTTTTATTTATAGCGCAAAAAGTAAAGCGCCCAGTGGCGATTAAATACCACCAAAAGAAAGCTCTATTTGTGAGAAAAAAATGATCAAAATTTCATATGGGTACAATGTTGCATGACCGCGCAATTGTCAATCAAAGTGCGGCAGCGCTGAAAGCTGAAAATCGGCCTGGTAAGGAAGGGGGTATAAGTGCCTGGTAGGCGAGGGGTTAAGTCGGCGTCCTGCTTGTATCTGTCTCCACTTACAGCTGTCAGTGAGAAGCCGATGCCTCCCTTCTGCTTGGGAATGCCGGACCGGCTTCTCTTCCTCCCAGAGATCCCTTGCCGGACCGGCTTCTCTTCCTCCCAGAGATCCCTTGCCGGACCGGCTTCTCTTCCTCCCAGAGATCCCTTGCGGGGGTCACGTGGGCCGCCCTGCGCCCTCGGCCTCCCAGCTGCTCTCTATCTCAGACGGGAGGCTCCAGCCGTCCCACCTCAAACGACCCACGACACTCCGTCCTCCACCGGTGGGATCCCACTTACAGGTAGGGCATCCTAGGCATCTCCAGCAGCATTCACGGGGCGCATTGAGGGGAAGGTGACTGCCTTACAGAGGGAGATCCTACATCGGACTCTCTCTCGCCGCCATGCTCAGGCTCCCCCCCCCCCCCCCCCCTCCATCTTGATCCAGCCTGATCTTCCTGCTATTAACCCCTCGCCCTCCTGAGGATTTACCCTCCTTAATGACCAGGCCTCTTTTTGCTACTCGGCGCTGCACTAATTCAACTGATAATTGCGCGGTCATGCAATGCTGCTACTAAATTTACATCCTTTTTTTCACACAAATAGAGCTTTCTTTCGGTGGTATTTGATCATCTGTGCGCTTTTTATTTTTCACGCTTTAAACAAAAAAAGACCAAAAATTTTGAAGAAAAACGATATTTTTTACTTTCAGCTATAAAAAATATATAGTAAACTCAAAGTTGGTTATAAATTTAGGCCAAAATGTATTCTGCTCCATGTTTTTGGTAAAAAAAAAATCCCAATAAGTGTCTATTGATTGCTTTGTGTGAAGTTATAGCGTCTACAAACTATGGTAGAGATACCGCAATTTACGCCATTTTTTTGCTATACAGCGCTGCACTAGTTTAACGGACAATTGCGCGGTCATGCAATACGGTACATACATGAAATTTATGTCCTCTTTTTCCCACAAATTGAGCTTTCTTTCGGTGGTATTTGATCGCCTGTGCGTTTTTTTTTATTTTTTGCACTATAAAAAAAAAGGCTGACAATTTTGAGAAACAAAACAATATTTTGGACTTTTTGCTATAAAACATGTCCAGTAAAAAAAAATAAAATAAAATTTTGTCATAAATTTCGGCCAAAATTCATTCTGCGACATGTCTTTGCTAAAGAAAAAAAAAAAAACCAATACGTGTAAATTAACTGGTTTACGTGAATGTTATAGCGTTTACAAATGGCGGAAAGATACTGGGATTTTAAATTTTTTTTTATACTAATAATGGCGGCGATCAGTGACTTACGGTGGCGATCAGTGACTTATGTATGCGATCAGCGACTTATGGATGCGATCAGTGACTTATGGTGGCGATCAGTGACTTATGGTGGCGATCAGCGACTTATGATGCGATCAGTGACTTATGGATGCGATCAGTGACTTATGGATGCGATCAGTGACTTATGGTGGCGATCAGTGACTTATGTATGCGATCAGTGACTTATGGTGGCGATCAGTGACTTATGGTGGCGATCAGCGACTTATGATGCGATCAGTGACTTATGGATGCGATCAGTGACTTATGGATGCGATCTGTGACTTGTGGATGCGATCAGTGACTTGTGGAGGCGATCAGTGACTTGTGGAGGCGATCAGCGACTTGTGGTGGCGATCAGCGACTTGTGGTGGCGATCAGCGACTTGTGGTGGCGATCAGCGACTTGTGGTGGCGATCAGCGACTTGTGGATGCGATCAGCGACTTTTGGCAGGACTGCGAGACTGCGACTGACATTCTGACACTGCGGGGGAACTGACTTGGGGTCACTGACATCCCCAGTGACACCAATACAGTGATCAGTGCAAAAAAAAAAAAACATTGACACTGTACTAATGGCACTGGGGAGGAAGGGGTTAACTTTTTTATTCACTGAAAGGGTTAACTGTGTGAGGGGAGTGTTTTACGAGGGGGCGGGGTGTGTACTGCACTGGGACACGCTGATCGGGACAGAGAAACTCTTCTCTCCCGATCAGCATGTCAGGAGCTGTCAGGGAACTGACAGGAAGCAGAGCTACTGCAGCCCTGCTCTCTGTCAGTGATTGCCGCTAATCGGCAGGACACAGCTGGTAATGACCAGCTATGACCCGGCGACTGACACCCCGGACGCGGACAGCGGGATCAGCGGTGCAGGTAGGGCGGAGGCGCGCCCCCTACCTGTTTTGCAAAAGCGCTTTTTAAAACGTGCTTTTGCCTAGCCATGCCGCCCTGCCACCGTATTTCTACAGTGGCTGGGCGGCAAGTGGTTAAGTAACTCCCTACCCAAAAGAGGTACAGGCAGACAGTCTACAGGAGCCTGAGATTGCACCTGGGGGTTGTTGTTGTGTGTTTTTTTCGCCGTATTGCCGTTCTGCGTACAGAGCTCTGTGTGTTTGTAACCACAGAATTCTGTGCTGTGATTGGCCACAGCCGATCAGCAGGTATACAGGCAAAAACATTTGCTGAAATCGGCTGAGGAACTCGTGCTGTGTCCAATCGCGTGCCCAAAAAACAGGCGGGCGGCGTGCTGGTACATCGCCTAGCCTGTGGGCAGGCGGGCGGCAAGCGGTTAAAATATCGCATGGATCAGTAAATTCGCAGGAGATGTCATCGGCTTTGAGATTACGCTGTACAGCTCGCATCACTTCTGATTAACCTTTCCTTTATTTTACAGGAAAGCCATTGAGGGTCTGGCCCAAATCAGCGAAGACGGAAGATCCCCAATCTCTATTCAGCAGATGGCCTACGGTGTGTAGAGTTCACTATTCTCTCTGCTCATGTTGCCGAGTAATCAGCAGCAGCAATCCAGCCGTTTTGTTTCCTTCTATTTTTATTCTTCGAATTTGTAGAGGAAATCTGAATGAAGTCAGAAAATCCGAAGAGAATTCGGGTTATCGCGCTCACACATTCTTTTAGTCCTCCTAGTCCAGGGGTAGGCAACCTGCGGCTCTCTAGCTGTTGTGGAACTACATTTCCCATGAGGCATTGCAAAGATTACAAAACTGACAGTTACAGCTATGACTTGCAGAGGCATGATGGAACTTGTAGTCCTGCGGCTCTCAGGTTGCCTACCCCTGTACCTAGTCTAAAGCAGAATATCAGTACAGATAATAACGGGACGTTTCTGTTTTCCCCCACAGTGTCCGGCTTCTCATTCGGGATCATCAGCGGAGTTTTTTCCGTAATCAACATCTTGGCGGACGCGGTGGGCCCTGGGATTGTGGGGGTTCATGGCGATTCCCAGTATTACTTCCTAACTTCAGGTATGGCAGACTGGGCATGTTGGTAAGATCGCATGTCAGAGCTGGTGGGGGGGGGGGGGACTAACTTTGTGTCACTGACACCCCAGCAGGGACAGACTGACAACTCATGGGGCCCCTGTGTCCTCACCCACACTCAAACCATTCCCAAAAAATGCCTATGAAAAGTACCAGGGGCATCTCATGGGGCCCCCTACTGACCCCCGGGCCCTCAGGCAGTGCCCAAGTTCCCAAATGGTCAGTCCGCCCCTGCACCCCAGTGACACCAGTACAGTGATCAGTGCTAAAAAAAAAAAGCATTGACACTGTATTAATGGCACTGGGCAGGAAGGGGTTAATGTGAGTGTTAACTGTGTGCTGGGAGTGTTTTACTAGGGGGCGGGGGGGTGTGTTCTTCACTGTAAGCACACTGATCGGGATGGCTGTACTGTGCACAGCCATCCCGAGCAGTGTGCTCCAGCTGACGGAGGAAAATTGTTTGTAAACAAGATAATCTTCCTCCCCGTCAGAGATGCTCGGTAATCACCGGGCGCTGGCGGGTAATTGCCGGCCGGGACCCGTTGATTGACATCCATGGCGGCGCGGGTAGGGCGCGCATGCCGCTCGCACGCGCGCCCCCTACCCAGCAATGCAAAATGCCGTGTATATATACGTGATTCTGCACGCAGGTGCCGCCCTGTAGCAGTATCTCTGCTATAGGGCGGGTCCTTAACCCCTTCACGCCTGAGGGTAAAACAAATCGAAATGCCTAACGTGTGTTAGTAAAACCGAACATATCATCACAACTACTTTGTATATCCGGGTGAATTATAGCGTGTTCTTTTCAGGACAAATTGGGCTTTCATTGGGTGGTAAATGGTATTGGATATCTCCTGATTTTTTTTTTTTTTTTTCTATTAAAGGAAAACTGACCCAAAATAGTAAAAAAAAAAAAAAAAAAAATCATTTTTTTTATTTAGCTGTGTGTTTTCTTGTTACTACCATAACCTACCACCCAAAGAACAACCCAAAATAAATTCTGCAGCTGCTGACGATCGCAGCGATACCATAGATGTGTATGTTATTTGTTGTCTGTACCCGGAGTACAGCCCAGAAACAATAGTGCACATTTTGGGGGTTTTTTACCTAAAACACACTGACACCAATTTTTTCTTTTTAAATCCTGACCTTTGACCCTGGCACTGAACTAGATGAAACTTTGATCTAGGTATTTTTTCTTTATTTTTTATTTTATTTTTTAATATTTATCTTTGTAAAAAAAAAAAAAAAAAAATTCCCCCTTTATCCCAGGAATTAGAGAGATACAATTTGTCTCTCTCCTCCCATTCATAGAGAGAAAAAGAAGACAAGGGGTCGGGGCTGTACAGTGACTGATCACTGTGATAGCCAATCAGAGGCTATCACAGCGGTCATGTGACCCGGAATCGGGAGTCCCGGGTCCCGATCATTAGAACGGGACCCGGTGCTCTCAGTGACAATGTGTCTCTCTCCTCCATTCATAGAGAGAAAAAGAAAACAAGGGGTCCGGGCTGTACAGTGACTGATCACTGTGATAGCCAATCAGAGGCTATCACAGCGGTCATGTGACCCGGAATCGGGAGTCCCGGGTCCCGATCATTAGAACGGGACCCGGTGCTCTCAGTGACAATGTGTCTCTCTCCTCCATTCATAGAGAGAAAAAGAAAACAAGGGGTCCGGGCTGTACAGTGACTGATCACTGTGATAGCCAATCAGAGGCTATCACAGCGGTCATGTGACCCGGAATCGGGAGTCCCGGGTCCCGATCATTAGAACGGGGACCCGGGTGCTCTCAGTGACAATGTGTCTCTCTCCTCCATTCATAGAGAGAAAAAGAAAACAAGGGGTCCGGGCTGTACAGTGACTGATCACTGTGATAGCCAATCAGAGGCTATCACAGCGGTCATGTGACCCGGAATCGGGAGTCCCGGGTCCCGATCATTAGAACGGGACCCGGTGCTCTCAGTGACACCGCGGTCTTTGTGCTGCAGAAAGATAGGTACGCGACATGCAGCCCCATGGAAAAAAGCCCGGTTCTGTGAGGCCGCCTATTTGTGTGACGTCGGCGTCAAGGGGTTAAGCAGTTAAAAAAAAAAAAATATTCTATGAATATGATGTGAAAAACGTGCATAAAATGCACATTAACGATGGTGGAGAAAATAAGAGACGTTCATTGGTTGGGGTGTACATTCGCTTTAACAGACTTGTCTTCTATGTTTTCTACAAAAAACCACCAGCGCCAAAAAATATATTGTGAAATAATTCCCAAATAAATGCTGTTGCTCCTTAGTGACAACACTAATAAAATAACAAAAAAATATAAAAAAACAAAAAAAAAACAGCGCTGTTTTGATTTTTTTTTGTCTTCTATGTTGTACAGCTGTTGTGTATATCGGATGGATTTATGCATTGCCGAGATTGATCGATTTTTCCTCTGTTGCAGCATTCCTGACCATGGCGATTGTTTTTCCTGCACACCTTCTGGGGCATCATATTCTTTGCCGCTTGTGAAAAGCGAAAACCAGTGCACATCGTGGGCGTGGTCCTCTGTCACCTGATCACCTCCGGGCTGGTGAGTTCGTGTAAAAAGTTGAATCGAATTCATTAGGCCCCTTTCTCACGAACGGTCCGATCAGATCCAGCTGTCAGTTTTCCTCATCAGATATGTCCATTCACCCCTATAACCCACCTACCTCCGATCCAGTCCAATACTGGCGCTGGATCCCCCCCTCTCCCGGTGCGGACGCTTTCACCCCCCCCCTCCCGGTGCGGACGTTTTCACCCCCCCCTCCCGGTGCGGACGTTTTCACCCCCCCCCCTCCCGGTGCGGACGTTTTCACCCCCCCCCCTCCCGTGCGGACGTTTTCACCCCCCCCCCCTCCCGGTGCGGACGCTTTCACCCCCCCCCCCTCCCGGTGCGGACGCTTTCACCCCCCCCCCTCCCGGTGCGGACGCTTTTTCCCCCCCCCCCCTCCCGGTGCGGACGCTTTCACACCCCCCCCCCCTCCCGGTGCGGACGCTTTCACCCCCCCCCCCGGTGCGGACGCTTTCACCCCCCCCCCCCCTCCACGGGTGCGGACGCTTTCACCCCCCCCCCCCCCCCCCCCCCCCCCCCCCGGTGCGGACGCTTTCACCCCCCCCCCCCCCCCCCCCCCCCCCCCCCCCCCCCCCCCCCCCCCCGGTGCGGACGCTTTCACCCCCCCCCCCCTCCCGGTGCGGACGCTTTCACCCCCCCCCCCTCCCGGTGCGGACGCTTTCACCCCCCCCCCCCCTTACGGTGCGGACGCTTTCACCCCCCCCCCCTCCCGGTGCGGACGCTTTCACCCCCCCCCCCCCCCCCTCCCGGTGCGGACGCTTTCACCCCCCCCCCCCCACCCCCCCCCCCCCCCCTCCCGGTGCGGACGCTTTCACCCCCCCCTCCCGGTCCAGGCCAATTTTCAGCTTTCAGTGCTATCACACTTTGAATGACAATTGTGCGGTCATGCAACACTGTACCCATATGAATGTTTTAGCATTTTTTTGAGACAAAGCTTTATTTTGGTGGTATTTATTCACCACTGGGATTTGTATTTTTTTTTTTGCTATGTAAATGAAAAAGTCCAAAAATTTTACAAAAAAGTGTTTTTCATCATAAATCTTGGCCAAAATTTATTCCGTTCTCTTTTTACTGAAAAAAAATAACCCAAATTAGTTTATAACCAAAAATTATAATTTTTAAAATTTTTTTTTACATTTTTATTTTATTTTTTTATATATATATATTTTTTTTAACATACTGTCACCAGAGCAGTACGGTGTCACCATGGTGACACTGTACTACTTGTGGGGGGTGATGAAGATTAGATTTTTTTTTTTTTTTTTACACTGATTGCTTTTACACCCATAAAGCTGTAAAAGCAATCATTTCTCCTCTCTGGCTGCATTCTTGCAGCCATTGAGAACTACTGGGTGAGCTGTGATTGGCCACAGCTTGTCACATGGTACAAGGCTGTTGTGAATAGCCTTGTACCATGTGACCTCTGTGATCATTCATAGATTTCACATGTAGTAAGCAATGATGTCAGAAGTGACATCTTGCTTACTACTCTGCATGTGATCACTGATTGGCCAATCGGTGATCACATGATCGGGACCTCACACAGAGGCCTCGTACGATGATCGGTGTTCCACTGTGTCCGGATCGCGGTGCTGCGCTCTCCCAGGGAGCGCACACAAGCAGGGGGCGGGGAGGCCATTTATAAATGGCCACCCAACCCTCCACTGCCACCATCTGGCATTTTATATACAACGGCCGGGTGGGAGGTGGTTAAGTTTTTTTTTTTTTTGTTTTGTTTTTTTTTTTTTTTTGGAGGGGGGATTAGAGATTCTCTTTAACCACTTACAGACCAGCAATGTACCCATATGTCGCTGGACCAGGGGCGGACTGACCATTTGGAAACTCGGGCACTGGGGCCCAGGGTCAGTAGGGGGCCCCATGAGATGCCCCTGGTACCTTTTTCATAGGCTTTTTTGAGTTTGGGCAAGGAAACAGGGGCCCCATGATCCCCTATTGCCCGGGGGCCCCATGAGTTGTCAGTCCACCCCTGCGCTGGACTTCCAAGTGGTTATACCAGGGTGATGTGTGTAGCTACAGTCACAACCCCGCTACCATTTTTTTTTAGAGCTGGTGGTTGTCTGTCTTGTAAAACCAATTGGAGAAGCTAAGTAGCCGATCGATTTGCTTTTACAAGCAGCGGGAGAAGACGTGTCCTAGCACCCCCCACCTCCCGCCCCTCTCTCGGGATCTCCCGTCCCACTGGGAGACCCAAGCAAGCAGCTGGCACGTCCCCCCGGCTGGTCGGACAGCCAAACAAAGCTGGATTGGCTCTCCATTATAGCAAACTGGAAGTGATGACCTGACGTCGCTTCCGGTTTACTTGGAACTAAATGGCGTCATTTTTATAAAAAAAAAAAAAAAAACATTTGAAAACGCTTATCTTGAATGCTTTTAGGGCCAGAGGGGGGGAATTGGGGTCTTATAGACACCTGTCCCATGACTATTGCTGTCATAAGAGATGTTTACATTCCTTGTGAGTGCAATAAAAGCGATCAAAAAACAAAAAAATGGAAAGCAACAGTGTAAAAATAAAAAAAAAAAATAAAATAATTTTAAAGCAAAAAAACTAAGTAGGGTATTATACAGGGATGCACCGAAAATTTCGGCCACCAAAACAAACAGGCCAAAAATAGCATGTCGATAGGAAAAATGTAGCCGATACAGGGGACTGTGTGTACTGCAGATGTGAGGGGGGGGGGGGGGGGGGGGAAAGGCAGGAGAGGAGCAGTGTATAGAGTGACTGACTGTCACTATAGGTCAGTGCCGGTTTTTAAGTGTAATTACTTGCTTTTTTTTTTTTTTCTTCACTATAGCTCAGAGAATTAGGTGTCACTTTCCCCCCAGCTAAAAGAAACAATGTTTCCTTTTAGTTTCTTTCCCAAGATAAAAGAAACAAAGTTTCCTTTAGCCCCGGGGAAATGACAGCTAATTCTGTGAGCTATAGTGAAGAAAAAAAAAAAGCCAGCAATCGCATTTAAAAATCGACACGGACATATAGAGCCGGTGAGGGAGCCTCTCTTTATACACTGCTCCTCTCCTGCCCCCTCCACTGCTCCTCTCCCCTACAAAGAGGACCTGTCACTCATATGCTGTCACATAGGGCAGGGGTGGGCAACTGTGGCCCTCCAGCTGTTGGTGAACTACAAGTCCCATCGTGCCTCTGCCTTTGGGAGTCATGCTTGTAACTGTCAGTTTTGCTATGCCTTATGGGACTTGTAGTTCTACAACAGCTGGAGGGGCACAGTTGCCCACCCCTGACATAGGGGACTATTGGTCCTGTGTGTGTGCGTGTGTGTGTGTGCGTGTGTGTGTGTGCGTGTGTGTGTGTGCGTGTGTGTGTGTGTGTGTGTGTGTGTGTGTGTGTGTTTTAAAAAAAAAAAAAAAATTGGAGCCTCCCCAACCCCACATATGAAGACATTTCGGTTTTTTTTTCGGCCACATGCATTCTGAATTTTCGGTTATCGGTTTCGGCACCGGAATTTTCATTTCGGGGCACCGCTAGTATTTTATGAACCTGCTTATTAAATACAAACCATTAATGACCCAATATGGGGAAAAAAAGTTTAGACAGGCCAATCCACAGAGCTATTGTCTGGTTTACAGACTGAGTGATGCTGCTATTATGATTATTATACTGTATTTATATAGTGCCTACAGTTTGCTCAGCGCTGTACATTGTGGGGGACAGAACATGAGACAATACAGTAACAATACAATACACGAGGGGTTCGAGGGCCCTGCTCCTTGGAGCTTACAATCTAGGAGGGAGGGGGTAGTGGTACAGGAGGAAGTGGCTGTGGGGATGGAGTGGTACGAGGAGTGGAGGAGATCAGCTGTTAGGTGAGGGTGGGGTAGGCTTCCCTGAAGAGATGGGTTTTCAGGGAGCGCCTAAAGGTGAGGAGGGTAGGTGACAGTCTGATGGATTGTGGGGTAGTGAGTTCCAGGGGATGGGGGAAGTCCTGGAGAAGTCCTGCAGTCGGGCGTGGGAGGAGGAGACCAGGGAGCTAGAATGTAGGAGGTCTTGTGAGGAGCGAATAATTTATTTATGTATTAGGTTTGCTCTGGGCATCTAGATGAAGAGTCCACCTGTTGGAAAACATTAATAAATGCGCCCTCCTTTTTAAAATAAAAAGTGCAAATATTAATTTTTGCATTGTAACCTGCAGAGCATTGCAGCCGTGATCGGTGCTTTATGGGTGCAGTGCACAGGTCTTCACATTGTTTGCCCCCCCCCCCCCCCACCCCCCCCCCCCCCCCCCCCCCCCCCCCCCCCCCCCCCCCCGCCCAATACGGAGGTACAGACCACCTGTTATGAAGTAAACAATGGACTACCAGCAGGGGCGGACTGACCATTTGGAAACTCTGTCACTGCCCCAGGGCCCGGGGTCAGTAGGGGGCCCCATGAAATGCCCCTGGTACCTTTTTCATAGGCTTTTTTGAGTTTGGGCAAGGACACAGTGGCCCCATGATCCCCTATTGCCCGAGGGCCCCATGAGTTGTCAGTCCGCCCCTGACTACAAGTGCAGAAATATCAACGAGATCTAGGAGTCCCCCTGCCATGGTGGCATATGGGAGTTGTAGTCTCTCCATTGACAGATCCCTGTGAATGGTTGATCCGTGTGGGCGGAGCCATGTACAGCTTTGTTAAATAAAAATACAGGATTCCGCAGAGAGGAAGAACCAAGCGGTTCAGGTAAGTGGGGGCGGCTGCTTGAGGTTGGGCTTGGGGAAGCCTTACCATGGGTGTAACATGAACCTTTGTCCCAAAGGTGGACTATACCTTGAATCTCCTCCACCCCCCTCTGCCAATTCCTCCACTGGCTTCCGATTGCGCAACGGATCAAATTCAAAATCCTAACGCTGACGTACAAAGCTGTCCACCATACTGCCCCGAACTACATCACTGACCTAATATCCAAGTACCCACCCAACACGCACACTCCGCTCCTCACAAGACCTCCTTCTCTCTAGTTCCCTGGTCTCCTCCTCCCATGCCCGCCTCCAGGACTTCTCCAGGGTGTCACCCATCCTCTGGAACTCCCTGCCCCAACCCATCAGATTATCACCTACTCTCCTCTCCTTTAGGCGCACCCTGAAAACCCATCTCTTCAGGGAAGCCTACCCCACCCCCTGCTAAACTTGCCGACCTCCTCCACTCTTCCTACCACCCCATCCCCCACAGCTATCTCCTCCTGTGCCACCATCCCCTCCCTCCTAGATTGTAAGCTCCAAAGAGCAGGGCCCTCGAACCCCTTGTGTATCGCATTGTATTGGTATTGTTCTGTCACATGTTCTGTCCCCCTTTGTAATGTACAGCGCTGAGCGAACTATCGGCGCTTTATAAATACTGTATAATAATAATAATAATCTAGACACTGCTGGTCTGTAATATAGCTGCCCCTCCAACTGTACATACCTGTGTGCTGATTGTATGCACAAATATAGTCAAGATTGGATTTAATCTTTTCATTTTTTTTTTTTTCTTCTCTTGATTAAACCTTCTTGCAGACATTCCTGAACCCGAGGTACGAAGCCAGCTTGATCCCCATATACATCCTCACCCTAGGCATGGGAGTGTGGGCTTTCATAGCATCAGGCGGCAACCACCACAACATACGCAAATGCCTTGCTTGTAAGTACGAAGTCTTTTCTAGCAGCACAAGGTAGAGGTCTGTTTTGCCCTTCAGGTTTTGAGGGATGGGTTTCTTCCAGGAAAACAGGGCAGCCTATCACAGCACCAACACTAAAGGCACCAGTGCCCAGGGGGGGAGCTTGGAGTGGAGAAGGTATATGTAGTTCACCTGCTCTGCGAATGGGTTAAGGGGATCATTGGGACCCCATAATAGTTCACTATGGGTAAAGAGAAAAGACTGAGCACTAATCTAAAAAGAATCTCGCTCGTGGTTTTGTTTACATGTTCCTGAAAAGATCGAACTCTTATAGATTCTGTGCTCGACTTTGTTTCATGTAAATACCTATATTATGGTTACCGGGGAGGGGAGGAGAGCAAGGCCTCCTCCATTCATTGATTGTGTCTGCGATGATCTCATAGTCTGGCTGAAAAAAAGACAAAAGTCCATCCAGTTCAACCATTAAAAAAAAAGTGATCTTACACCCACAGTTGATCCAGAAGAAGGCAAAAAACCCAGCAAAGCACGATTTAATTTGCTCCTGCAGGGGAAAAAAATTCCTTCCTTATCCCCCGAGAGGCAATCGGATATTCCCTGGATCAACGTCACCTATAAATGTTATATCCAGTTATATTCTGTGTACCCAAGAAAGAATCCAGGACTTTTTTTTTTAATTATGGAAAAAATAAAAAGTAAAAAGTGAAGGCAAAATCTGGTGCAGCTGTGAATGGTAGCCAATCAGCTTCTAACTTCAGCTTGTTCAATTAAAGTGTTACTAAACCCACAACAGTACAATCAGTCTGTAGATGCAGTAAAGCACGCTTGTTATACTCACTGTGGAACCTAAGGGGTTAATCCTCTGCATTGTGTAAAAAGGTCATTTGATCCTGAGTTCTCTGCTCCTCCTCTTGTTCAAATGTCCACGTCTTATCTCCTGATAAGACAGACTGAATCGTAGCCATTCTCCACATGCTCAGTTTAGTGTGTATTGCTACAGAGGTTTTTTTTTTTCTTGGGAGAGTGCATGTGATCAGCACAGGGCCAATCAGCACTGTCCAGACAGAGTTCAGGCGTTTTGCATCCTCCTAGAGCAGGAAGAAAACTCCTCCTCCAAGCTTTAACCAGTGCTCTGCTGAACTGCTTCTGAGAAAAGGTATTTAGCAGTTTATATTTACTAAATTAATAGCATTTCCATGTTCTGTGTACTGTGGGAGACCAGATATAGTGAATGCGGGGTCCGGGGAGACTGGATATAGTGAATGCAGGGTCCGAGGAGAGCGGATATAGAGAATGCAGGGTCCTGGGAGACCAGATATAGTGAATGCAGGGTCCGAGGAGAGCGGATATAGTGAATGCGGGGTCCAGGGAGAACAGATATAGTGAATGCAGGGTCCGGGGAGAGCAGATATAGTGAATGCAGGGTCCGGAGAGAGCAGATATAGTGAATGCAGGGTCCGGGGAGAGCAGATATAGTGAATGCGGGGTCCTGGGAGACCAGATATAGTGAATGCGGGGTCCTGGGAGACCGGATATAGTGAATGCGGGGTCCGGGGAGAGCGGATATAGTGAATGCAGGGTCCGGGGAGAGCGGATATAGTGAATGCAGGGTCCGGGGAGAGCGGATATAGTGAATGCAGGGTCCGGGGAGAGCGGATATAGTGAATGCAGGGTCCGGGGAGAGCAGATATAGTGAATGCGGGGTCCGGGGAGAGCGGATATAGTGAATGCGGGGTCCGGGGAGAGCGGATATAGTGAATGCGGGGTCCGGGGAGAGCGGATATAGTGAATGCAGGGTCCGGGGAGGCCGGACATAGTGAATGCAGGGTCCGGGGAGGCCGGACATAGTGAATGCAGGGTCCGGGAGAGCGGATATAGTGAATGCGGGGTCCGGGGAGAACAGATATAGTGAATGCGGGGTCCGGGGAGAGCGGATATAGTGAATGCGGGGTCCGGGGAGACCGGATATAGTGAATGCAGGGTTCGGGGAGACCGGATATAGTGAATGCAGGGTCCGGGAAGGCCGGACATAGTGAATGCAGGGTCCGGGGAGGCTGGACATAGTGAATGCAGGGTCCGGGGAGGCTGGACATAGTGAATGCAGGGTCCGGGGAGGCCAGACATAGTGAATGCGGGGTCCGGGGAGGCCGGACATAGTGAATGCGGGGTCCGGGGAGGCCAGATATAGTGAATGCGGGGTCCGTGGAGGCCGGATATAGTCTGCTGCCCATTTACAGAAGCCTTTGTATTTATGTTCACATAATACAAAGGCTTCTGTGATTAGGCAGGGAAGGGGTGGGCATAGCAGCTGCAGTGCATCTACTGTTAAAGATGTTAAGACCTGAAGAATCAGAATGGGGCTCCTGGAAATACAGCAGGTAGCTGTCTTCCGCGATACTATAAACCGTCAGAAATAAATAATAGAGATAGGTTCAGGAGATGTCATGCACCTCCTTGGACTTAAATCATACTGTGCCTAGGCTTTTTTTTTTTTTTTTTTTTTTTTTTTTGTACAATGTGGCTGAATTCCAAGAATTCAGCTTTTGTCCATTGCAGATACAATCAAGAATCATGAATGGAGGAGACCTTGTAGCCCTCTCCTCACAGGTAATTATTTACATGAAACGAGGCCCAGCGCAGAATCCTGGAATTCCACTTTAACCCCTTTGCACTGGCGCCTCCTGGCCCTTTAAGAGTTTTGGAAGCCGTGAGGCGGGTTTTTTGGGTCATGTGACCGCCGTGATTCGCTGTCACGGCGGTCACATGATCGGAGAAGGTCCCGATCGCAAGGGGAGATCGGGACCTTTCCGTGACTCACGGATATATGTGCTGGGAGCGTGCATGGAACGTGTGGCATGCTCCACCCTGAAAATTGGTGGAACGTGTAACATGTTCCCAAAGGTGAACTTCTTTAAAGCACGGGTGTCTGAACGCAAAAAAATTTGCGTTTTTGGTTCTATAGAATTCAATGGTAGTGCTGCAGAAAAGCATGTATCGCGTTTTTGATGCGTTTTGCATTTTAAATTGCCCAGCAACAAGAAAAATGTTTAAAAAACGCAAAAAGTGTCAAACGCAGGAACGGCTCAAACGCAACCCGGATAGGCTAAAGATGACTCCCCTAGAAATTACATCTTCTAGAGCAGGGGTGGGCAACTGTTGCCCTCCAGCTGTTGGTGAACTACAAGTCCCATCATGCCCCTGCCTTTGGGAGTCCTGCTTGTAACTGTCAGTCTTGCAATGCCTAATGAGACTTGTAGTTCGACAACAGCTGGAGGGCCACAGTTGCCCATCCCTGTTCTAGAGCATGGGTGTCAAACTGGCAGCCCTCCAGCTGTTGTCAAACTACAAGTCCCATGAGGCATTGCAAGATTGACAGTCACAAGCATGACTTCCAAAGGCAGAGGCATGATGGGACTTGTAGTTTCGCAGCTGCTGGAGGGCCGCCAGTTTGACACACCTGCTTTAAAGTTTGCTTCTCCAAGGCCCTTTCTTCAGTATTTGGCTAGTCTGTGGACACCAGACCATCACAGCCAACCGTATGTGGAAACTCCACCTCATGGTTGGGTTCAGGTGTTTGTAATGAAGAGTACTGTTACTACTACAGTATAGAAGGACATTTTATACCGAACCAGGGGGGAGGGAATGCATGGCGGGGCCCCTGTGTATAAAGCCAGCTCTAGGAAGGCTTGGGGTAATGAGTTTGGAGCGTAGACACTTGGGTCCTGACCTCAACCCTACTGGTCACCTTTGAAATAAATCGAGATCCAGGTCTTCTCATCCAACACAGTACCTGACCTCACAAATGTTTTTTTTTTTTTTGGCAGAATGGGCACAAATTCCCCCCCAGACACCCTCCAGGAAGGGGGTGGAGGATGTTGTAGCTGCACATGGAGATGGGCAGCGCCATGTTAATGGCCATGGTTTTGGGATTGGATGTCCTTCAAGCTCATATAGGTGTGATGGTCAGGTGTTCACATCGTTCAACATATGAGGGTTGATTTACTAAAACGGAAGTGTGCAATATCAGGTGCAGCTCTGCATGGAAACCAATCAGCTTCCTGTTTTTTTTTTTTTTTTTTTCCGTTAATGTTTAAAGTGATTGTAAAGGCAGATTTGTTTTTTAAATGTCATACTAAGGCTGGCCATACATTATACAATTTTCTTCAGAATTTCGCTTTAGATTTACCAAAAACCATATAATATGAGGTCAGACTTAACAACACTTTCAGTTGTATCCGATTAGGCAGGCCCTTGCACTACAGAGTTGGAGGTAAATCTAAAGGAAATTGGGCAGAAATTGTATAGTGTATGGCCAGCCTTACCTGCTCTGTGTAATGGTTTTGCACAGAGCAGCCCCTATCCCCTTCTCTGGTCTCCTGCTGGCTACTCCCGGCCCCTCCCGCCTGCCGGCTACTCCCGGCCCTTCCCTCCTGCCGGCTACTCCCGGCCCTTCCCTCCTGCCGGCTACTCCCGGCCCTTCCCTCCTGCCGGCTACTCCCGGCCCTTCCCTCCTGCCGGCTACTCCCGGCCCCTCCCTCCTGCCGGCTACTCCCGGCCCTTCCCTCCTGCCGGCTACTCCCGGCCCTTCCCTCCTGCCGGCTACTCCCGGCCCTTCCCTCCTGCCGGCTACTCCCGGCCCTTCCCTCCTGCCGGCTACTCCCGGCCCTTCCCTCCTGCCGGCTACTCCCGGCCCTTCCCTCCTGCCGGCTACTCCCGGCCCTTCCCTCCTGCCGGCTACTCTCCCGGCCCTTCCCTCCTGCCGGCTACTCCCGGCCCTTCCCTCCTGCCGGCTACTCCCGGCCCTTCCCTCCTGCCGGCTACTCCCGGCCCTTCCCTCCTGCCGGCTACTCCCGGCCCTTCCCTCCTGCCGGCTACTCCCGGCCCTTCCCTCCTGCCGGCTACTCCCGGCCCTTCCCTCCTGCCGGCTACTCCCGGCCCTTCCCTCCTGCCGGCTACTCCCGGCCCTTCCCTCCTGCCGGCTACTCCCGGCCCTTCCCTCCTGCCGGCTACTCCCGGCCCTTCCCTCCTGCCGGCTACTCCCGGCCCTTCCCTCCTGCCGGCTACTCCCGGCCCTTCCCTCCTGCCGGCTACTCCCGGCCCTTCCCTCCTGCCGGCTACTCCCGGCCCTTCCCTCCTGCCGGCTACTCCCGGCCCTTCCCTCCTGCCGGCTACTCCCGGCCCTTCCCTCCTGCCGGCTACTCCCGGCCCTTCCCTCCTGCCGGCTACTCCCGGCCCTTCCCTCCTGCCGGCTACTCCCGGCCCTTCCCTCCTGCCGGCTACTCCCGGCCCTTCCCTCCTGCCGGCTACTCCCGGCCCTTCCCTCCTGCCGGCTACTCCCGGCCCTTCCCTCCTGCCGGCTACTCCCGGCCCTTCCCTCCTGCCGGCTACTCCCGGCCCTTCCCTCCTGCCGGCTACTCCCGGCCCTTCCCTCCTGCCGGCTACTCCCGGCCCTTCCCTCCTGCCGGCTACTCCCGGCCCTTCCCTCCTGCCGGCTACTCCCGGCCCTTCCCTCCTGCCGGCTACTCCCGGCCCTTCCCTCCTGCCGGCTACTCCCGGCCCTTCCCTCCTGCCGGCTACTCCGGCCCTTCCCTCCTGCCGGCTACTCCCGGCCCTTCCCTCCTGCCGGCTACTCCCGGCCCTTCCCTCCTGCCGGCTACGCCCGGCCCTTCCCTCCTGCCGGCTACGCCCGGCCCTTCCCTCCTGCCGGCTACGCCCGGCCCTTCCCTCCTGCCGGCTACGCCCGGCCCTTCCCTCCTGCCGGCTACGCCCGGCCCTTCCCTCCTGCCGGCTACGCCCGGCCCTTCCCTCCTGCCGGCTACGCCCGGCCCTTCCCTCCTGCCGGCTACGCCCGGCCCTTCCCTCCTGCCGGCTACGCCCGGCCCTTCCCTCCTGCCGGCTACGCCCGGCCCTTCCCTCCTGCCGGCTACGCCCGGCCCTTCCCTCCTGCCGGCTACGCCCGGCCCTTCCCTCCTGCCGGCTACGCCCGGCCCTTCCCTCCTGCCGGCTACGCCCGGCCCTTCCCTCCTGCCGGCTACGCCCGGCCCTTCCCTCCTGCCGGCTACGCCCGGCCCTTCCCTCCTGCCGGCTACGCCCGGCCCTTCCCTCCTGCCGGCTACGCCCGGCCCTTCCCTCCTGCCGGCTACGCCCGGCCCTTCCCTCCTGCCGGCTACGCCCGGCCCTTCCCTCCTGCCGGCTACGCCCGGCCCTTCCCTCCTGCCGGCTACGCCCGGCCCTTCCCCCTCCTGCCGGCTACGCCCGGCCCTTCCCTCCTGCCGGCTACGCCCGGCCCTTCCCTCCTGCCGGCTACGCCCGGCCCTTCCCTCCTGCCGGCTACGCCCGGCCCTTCCCTCCTGCCGGCTACGCCCGGCCCTTCCCTCCTGCCGGCTACGCCCGGCCCTTCCCTCCTGCCGGCTACGCCCGGCCCTTCCCTCCTGCCGGCTACGCCCGGCGGCACACCCAGATGTGCCTCGGCCCTGCCCCTGCTCTCTCCTCATTGCCTCACTGGCTGTGATTGACAGTAGTGGGAGCCAGTGGCTCAATAAAGGGGATAGAGACAGCTGAGGCCCCCGTGCTAATCGTCGGATCAAAATGGGGCTCAGGTAGGTGCTGGGGGGGTGGTGGTTCTGGGGGGCTTCTGCACACTGAAGGTTTTTTTTACCTTCATGCATAGAAGGAAAAAAACCATTGAGCCTTTATAATCACTTTAATTGAACAAGCTGAAACTGGAAGCTGATTGGCTACAGTGCACAGTTGCAGGGCCGGGACAAGAGGTGAGCAAGAGGGGCAGCTGCCCTGGGTGCAGCAAAGCAAGGGGGCAGATAATGAATGCAGCATGCATCAGCAGTGGGGGGAGGGGCGCAGTTCCACATCCTTGCCTTGGGCACTAGATGAACCTGTCCCAGTACTGCACAGCTGCACCAGATTCTGCTCCGGTTTTAGTAAATCTCACCCATAGTGTATAAGTTGTATTATTGCACGGGGTGATTTTGCACTTTACCATACACGTGTGAAAGGATGCTTCATGAAAAAAGCTTTGTGAAAGTATCCGCACTGCCAGGGAGGTGCCTCGGGTTATTACAGCCTCTTCTTCTCCAACTAAGTTATCACAAAGCTAACGCTTGAAATGACACTTATCCCTTGTGATCCCGTATATACACGCAGCAAGTGTGTCTGCACCCTAAAGGGAACCTGTCTCCTAATTAAAGGGGAAGTTCACCATATTTAGGGTGTAACATGGTCCTGTGCACCCACCTCTCGCTGCCAGCACTCTCTCTGTGACAGCCGGTGGGGGATCCTCTCTCAAGTCAAGAACGGTGTGGCTGTGAGGGGCTCCACCCACGCGGCCACGCCATTCATTCACTTTCGTGTGAATGAATAGACTACAAGTACCATCTTCCATTGCGGCAGACTGCTTGTAGTTCTCAATGAACAGTGAGGGGGCGCTGATGAGCACTCTCGTAGTTCATTGATTCTTCCTGCCATTCAGCAACTGTACGGGAGATACAGACACACAGCTGACGGAGCCCGCAGGATCCTGGCATCAGCAGATCTCTGCTGCAATGCTTCATATTAGTGGTCTTCCAACCGCAGCCCGGGGGCTGGATGTGGCCCTTTGCTTGCTTTTTTTCTGTACTTATTTATTTATTTCAGGTACTTATATAGCGCCATCAATTTACGCAGTACTCTACATATATATTGTACAATCACATCAGTCCCTAACCCTCAAGGGGCGTACAATCTAAGGTCCCTAACCCTCAAGGGGCGTACAATCTAAGGTCCCTAACCCTCAAGGGGCGTACAATCAAAGGTCCCTAACCCTCAAGGGGTGTACAATCTAAGGGCCCTAACCCTCAAGGGGCGTACAATCTAAGGTCCCTAACCCTCAAGGGGCGTACAATCTAAGGTCCCTAACCCTCAAGGGGCGTACAATCTAAGGTCCCTAACCCTCAAGGGGCGTACAATCTAAGGTCCCTAACCCTTAAGGAGCATGCAATCTAAGGTCCCTGACCCTCAAGGGGCGTACAATCGAAGGGCCCTGACCCTCAAGGGGCGTACAATCGGAGGGCCCTGACCCTCAAGGGGCGTACAATCGGAGGGCCCTGACCCTCAAGGGGCGTACAATCGAAGGGCCCTGACCCTCAAGGGGCGTACAATCGAAGGGCCCTGACCCTCAAGGGGCGTACAATCGAAGGGCCCTGACCCTCAAGGGGCGTACAATCGAAGGGCCCTGACCCTCAAGGGGCGTACACAATCGAAGGGCCCTGACCCTCAAGGGGCGTACAATCGAAGGGCCCTGACCCTCAAGGGGCGTACAATCGAAGGGCCCTGACCCTCAAGGGGCGTACAATCGAAGGGCCCTGACCCTCAAGGGGCGTACAATCGAAGGGCCCTGACCCTCAAGGGGCGTACAATCTAAGGTCCCTGACCCTCAAGGGGCGTACAATCTAAGGCCCCGAACTCACATTCATACATACACATATTAAGGCCAATTTAGTCAGGATCCAGTTAACCTGCCAGCAGGGTTTTCAAGTGGTTCTGAAGTTTCATTCATCCTGCATTCTGCCCCCCTTATGTGTCTGATCTCAATCCAGCGCTGTGCACAAGAACAGAGGCTCTCCCAGCTCTCTCCCTCCTCATTGGCTTAGAGACAGCAGCAGTTGCCATTGGCTCCTGCTGCTCTTAATCACAACCAGTGAGAAGAGGGCGGGGCCAAATCCCGCTTTGTGTGTCAATGGACACACAGCGTGGCTCAGGAGCGAGCTTGCACAAGTGGATTGCTATGGACCACTTGGCAGGGGGGAGAAGCCCCAGTGGGAGACGAGGATCGGGGATGCTGTGAGCAAAACCATTACACAAAGCAGGTGAGTATAACAAGTTTGTAAAGGATCACGTTTTTTTTTTGTTTTTTTTTAAAGCACAATCACTTTAATGTGGTGACAACAGAGTCGCTTAAAAGTGAAGTTGTCAAACAAGTGACTTTTATTTGCTTCAGTGCATCGGGATCAAATTATAAGTGTCATTTGAAGGTGGCGAAACCCCTGAGGTGTGGTGTCCTCCGATGAACCCCTCCGCTGCCTGCCATACACAGAGGGATGGAGATTGTACTCGGTGCTTTATTTATCACTTTGTTTATGAATGGTGAGATCCTGGACAGTGTGTGCGGCCCTTAGCATCCAGGTTGTTCTGTCCCCCAGTGCAGCATGGGAAATAGTGGGCATTTGCGTGCAGAGGTATGGGAGGGTTGTTTTAGGTGTTTACACCTGAACCCATCCTAGAGGCAGTGCAGGGGTTTACTGTCCCCTACCCTCCCTGACCTCCCCCATCCAGCGCAGTGCTTGGTTTTGCCCCATCGATAGGTAAAACAGGAACTGTTTTGTTTCTGCAGGGAAACGGCAAGAATGTAACCAGGTTATGGTCTATTCTGCTCTTCAGGTGCCCAGTGAGGATTGAGACCCACCCAGCTCAGCTGCCGTGCAGCCACCAACAGACACTGAGTCACCATTCAAGTGCTCCTCTCTCTCCCAGAAGCCGGCTCCCCTTCCCCAAAATCTGGCCTAGGCCAGTAAGAATCTCTCTTGCTCCTCTCTTCTTCATCTCTCCCCTCTCTTCCTCCCTCGCCCCTCTCTTCCTCCCTCGCCCCTCTCTTCCTCCCTCGCCCCTCTCTCCTCCTCCCTCGCCCCTCTCTTCCTCCCTCGCCCCTCTCTTCCTCCCTCGCCCCCTCTCTCTTCCTCCCTCGCCCCTCTCTCGCCCCCCCCCCCTTCCCCTCCCCCCCCCCCCATCTTCCTCTCTCGCCCCCCCCCCCTTCCTCTCTCGCCCCCCCCCCTTCCTCTCTCGCCCCCCCCCCCCCCTTCCTCTCTCGCCCCCCCCCCCCTTCCTCTCTCGCCCCCCCCTTCCTCTCTCTCTCTCCCCCCCCTTCCTCTCTCGCCCCCCCCCCCTTCCTCTCTCGCCCCCCCTTCCTCTCTCGCCCCCCCTTCCCTCTCTCGCCCCCCCCCTTCCTCTCTCGCCCCCCCCCCCTTCCCTCCCCCTCCCCCCCCCTTCCTCTCTCGCCCCCCCCTTCCTCTCTCGCCCCCCCCTTCCTCTCTCGCCCCCCCCTTCTCTCTCTCCCCCCCTCTTCCTCTCCTCGCCCCCCCCCTTCCTCTCTCTCCCCCCCCCCCTTCCTCTCTCGCCCCCCCCCTTCCTCTCTCACCCCCTTTCCTCTCTCCCCCCCCCTTCCTCTCTCACCCCCCCCCCCCCCCTTCCTCACACCCCCCCCCTTCCTCACCCCCCCCCCCCTCTTTTGACCCCCCCCCCCCCTCTTTTGACACCCCTCCTCCTCCTCCTTCTCTCTCTCGCCCCCCCCCATCCTCTTGTGCTCCTCTTCTTCCCCTTTATCTCTCTCTCGCTCCTCTTCTTCTCCCCCCTTTAACTCTCTCTCGCTCCTCCTCTTCTCCCCCTTTATCGCTCTCTCGCTCCTCTTCTTCTCCCCCTTTATCTCCCTCTCGCTCCTCCTCTTCTCCCCCTTTATCTCCCTCTCGCTCCTCCTCTTCTCCCCCTTTATCTCCCCTCTCGCTCCTCCTCTTCTCCCCCTTTATCTCCCTCTCGCTCCTCCTCTTCTCCCCCTTTAACTCTCTCTCGCTCCTCCTCTTCTCCCCCTTTACCTCTCTCTCGCTCCTCCTCCTCTTCTCCCCCTTTACCTCTCTCTCGCTCCTCCTCTTCTCCCCCTTTACCTCTCTCTCGCTCCTCCTCTTCTCCCCCTTTACCTTTCTCTCGCTCCTCTTCTTCTCCCCCTTTATCGCTCGCTCCTCCTCTTCTCCCCCTTTATCGCTCGCTCCTCCTCTTCTCCCCCTTTATCTCTCGCTCGCTCCTCTTCTTCTCCCCCTTTATCGCTCGCTCCTCTTCTCTTCTCCCCCTTTATCTCTCGCTCGCTCCTCCTCTTCTCCCCCTTTGCCTCTCTCTCTCGCTCCTCCTCTTCTCCCCCTTTGCCTCTCTCGCTCGCTCCTCCTCTTCACCCCCTTTGCCTCTCTCGCTCCTCCTCTTCTCCCCCTTTACCTCTCTCTCGCTCCTCCTCTTCACCCCCTTTACCTCTCTCTCTCGCTCCTCCTCTTCACCCCCTTTGCCTCTCTCTCTCGCTCCTCCTTTTTCTCTGTTTACCTCCAGACCTCATTCCGCCCTTCTCGCCGGCGCTGGGCCTACTCAGGCTGACTGGAGCAATCTGGTATTGCTCACCTCTTCAAAACCAGTACAATAGAATCCTCTCAGACTGGCGTGCCGCTCTGAACGCTGAGATGGTCAAGTCTACGGCTCATCTGTGTTCATTTTTTTATTTTTCTTTTCGATATATCGATTTACGATGGAGGCTTTCCCGTGTTTCGGCTCAGAACTGTCTATTGTCTCTGAGAACGGTTCAGTTTTTTGTCTTTTTAAAGGATCTACATATTCCGGACATCGATCCTTGGAACGTGGAAGCTACTTATCCCCCCCCCCCCGTTATCCTGGCAAGGGACAGTCACACGCGGCTGCTCCTCAGGGACTGAATAACATAAGTTTAATGTGGTATGTCAGTTTTTCATTTCTGGTTTGTTTGGGGGGAGGGGGCGCAATGTGGAAACCTGCCGAAAGTTATCAAATCCGAAACGGCATGTCATTTAATTCCATCAGACGGGATCGTACGTCGCCAGCACTGACTTATTAACAGTACGTAACAAAACTTCAAAGACGTGTCAAGATACATCGAGTGCCAGAACGCTACTGAATTTAAAGTTTACTTTTTTTTTTCTTTAAGTAGAGGACGGGCACGAGTTAGGGTAACGGGGCTCTGGTGCCAAGATGGCGGAAAAATATACCGAGCGGGAAACCCTTTGAAAAGTATCACTGCTCGGGTGGGAGGCCTCCGATGGAAGCTGCCTCTCTGGTATACAGCCTGAGTGTTGGAGAGAGGTAGTCCCGTTTACGGCTTGTCACATGTGACCAATCGCCTTTAAAGCTAAAGTCCAGCCGTAACTTTTTTTTTTTCTTGCTTATAACGTGGAGAGCGGTTTTAACATCTGTCCGTTTTTTTTTTAGCAGTCTATGACCCCCCCATTGTGGTGTCTTCTTACGGACATTTGGACACGAAATTTAGGTGAATCTTATGGGCAATGGTAAAAGCCTTTGATTGCTTTCCATGTCCCTGTGGGAAAACTTTTCTCACTTCCTGTGTGGCTAACGGGTGTTTTTAGGACAGGAAGTGGAAACAAATTCCATAGTGGGGACACAGACCGTCCTAAATTTTCCCCCTCTACCCAAGGCTAAAAGGTCCCCATAGACGGCTCAAATTTTGGCTGATTCCTGTTGAATTCAAGGCTGGCTCACCAAAAGTTGATTTAAAGCTGATCTCCAGGATTCCTTTCACCGTTAAAGCGGAGTTCCAGTTGAATAAAAAAAAAAAAAAAGTCAGCATGAACGGCCTTCAAGTACCGCCAGCCATTGTGGCTGACAGCAGGTAGTTCTCAATGAGCTACGAGGGCGCTAGTGAGCGCTCTCGTAGTTCACTGATCTTCCTGCTATCAGGTAACTGCCTACCCAAAAGAGGTACAGGCCAGGGGCGGACTGACCATTGGGGAACTCGGGCACAGCCCGAGGGCCCGGGGTCAGTAGGGGGCCCCGTGAGATGTCCCTGGTACCTTTCTTAGGCTTTTTTGAGTGTGGGAGAGGACACGGCCCCATGATCCCCTATTGCCCGGTGTTTCCCCTTGAGTTGTCAGTCCACCCCTGGTACAGGCAGACAGTATACAGGAGCCTGAGATTGCACCTGCTATCTCCTGATCACGGGTGCCATGCTCTGCAGGCTCCTTAGAAAAATAAAATAATAAATGCACTTTTTTTTTTTTGTCATGGGCATGACTCCCATCACTCTAGTACTGCCATTCCTAAAGCGGAGTTCCACCTGAGAAAAAAAAAAAGAGCAGCTACAAAAACTGTAGCTGCTGACTTTTAAAATACAGACACTTTCCTGTTCCTCGGTCCAGCGGTGTCCTCAGCGTGGCTGGTTTCACCAGCTGTCTTCTCTCGGCGCCGGCATCCTAAGTGTGGGTACCCAGCTGTGACAGCCGGGTGCCCACCGCATATGCGCAAGTAGCGCTGCGCTTTGTGAATGGCCCCGTGGTCTTTTGGGACCTGTCACGTGTCCCAGAAGACTACGGGGAGGGAGGGGGAAGACAACATCCGTTTCTGATCGCCTTAGGCAATCGCACTGGAAGTGAGAGCGGGTACCTGTCAAATTCGGGTACCCGCACCCCAAAGGTGTCAATCCAAAATGGGGGGGAACAGCGTGCTGCTTCACAGCCGGGTGCCCACTGCGCATGCGCGAGAAGCACTGCGCTTTGTGAATGGTCCACAGTCTTCTGGAACCTGTCACGTGTCCCAGAAGACTACTTGGAGGGAGGGGGGAAGACAACCTCCATTTCTGATCACCTTAGGCGATCGCACTGGAAGTGAGAACGGGTACCTGTCAAATTCTGGTACCTGCACCTCAAAGGTGCCAATCCTTAACAGGGGGGGAACAGCGTGCTGATTCACAGCCGGGTGCCCACTGCGCATGCGCGAGAAGCACTGCGCTTTGTGAATGGTCCATAGTCTTCTTGGATCTGTCACATGTCCCAGAAGACTACGGGAAGGGAGGAGGATAGACGACTTCCATTTCTGATTGCCTTAGGCGATCGCACTGCATGTGGGAGCCGGTACCTGTTAAATTCGGGCACCCGCCCCCCGAAGGTGCCGATCCTTAATGAGGAGCGGGGGACAAAGCATTAAAGCAGAACGTCCCCTTTTGGGTGGAGCTCCGCTTTAAATAGTTAATTTGGACCAAGCTGAGGAGGGAGGGGGGAAAACGACTTCCATTTCTGATCATCTTAGGCGATCGCATTGGAAGTGGGAGCGGGTACCTGTCAGATTCGGGTACCCGCTCCCCTCCCCAAAGGTGCCAATCCTTAATGGGGAGCAGGGGACAAAGCATTAAAGCGGAACGTCCCCTTTTGGGTTGAGTTCCGCTTTAAATAGTTCGTTTGGACCAAGCTGGTCCAAACAAACTATTTACTTCACTAAGTGCTACAGTGTCTTTAAGCACTGTATGTACCTCCATATAGCTTCCGCTACATACAGTGTATATAGTGCCGGGTTCCGGCTGTGAGACAGAGACTTCCCGACTCACACCAGGAACAGTGCAGAGTCAGCCTGAGCGGCACTCAGTCATTTCTAGGCAGCTTTGTATTCTGTGAATGACTACAAAGCTTCCTTTGATTGGCTGAGGCGGAGTGAGTTGCGTCATCAGCCCGCCCCTCCGCTTCAGCCAGTCAGAGGAAGCTTTGTATTCATTCACAGAATACAAAGCTGCTTATAAATGGCTAAGCACCACTCAGACCGCCTTTGCATTGTTCCCGGTGTGAGTCTGGAAGTCTGTCTCACAGCCGGAACCCCGACACTATATATTGTAT